CCAGGCACTCCCCTTCTGCTTAGTCTTCCAAACGCACACACAGTAGTCACACCCCTTCATGCTCAGGAGGCCTCATGCCATTTCTCTCCCTTGGAGTAGATCAACGTTAAAAGATAAAGCCATGTAAATGACCGACAACTATTAAATCATCAATAAAGGATGCTCAATTTCATCAGCCAATCAGGAAATAAAAATGAAAACCAAACCATAATGAAATTCCATTACACACCCCCACTGGACAGGATAGCTAAAATTAAAAGCACTGACAATATCAAGGGTTGACAAGACTATGGAGCAACTAGAACTCCTGGATCTTGGTGGGAGCGTAAACTGGCATGACCACTTTGGAAACTACTTACCAGTTTCTACTAAAACTAAATATACACCTTCCCTGCTACCTAGAAATTCCACTCCCAAATATATATCCAACAGGATTGTGTCCATGTTTAAAATGCTTATGGTGGCACCATTTGTAATAGCTAAAAACTAGAAATTTCCCTAAATGCCCATCAACAGTAAAGTGGTTAAGTAAATTGCAATATATTTACAAAGTGGAAGACTATACATCAACGAGAGTGAATCAACTACAGTTCACACAACAACATGGATGAATTGCACAAACACAACTTTGAACAAAGAATCACACAAGTATACACTGCATGGTTCCATTTATATAAAGTACCAAAACAGCCCAAACAGCTGTGATCAGGATAAGGATAACCCCAGGCCAGGGGATATAGGACTGGAAGAGATCAAGAAAAAGCTTCTGGAGTACTGCTAATATTCTCTTTCTTGAGCCGGGTGCTGAACCCAGGTGTGTTTCCTTTATGAGAACAGATTAAGCTATACTCTTATAATTTGTGTACTATTCTGAATGCATATTACATTTTAAAGTAAAAGTTTAAAAAAGATAAAGGCATATAGCCTCTCCTTTCCATCCCACCCCAACCCTACTGAATATAGTCCAATTTCAAGGGGAAGGAGCTACAAATCCAGAAGCCTATGTCAGAAATGCCGTAATCATTGGTCCCCAGGAAGAGGTCCCTAGTGTTGGAACTACCCTGCCCAGCCACATGCGCTCTGCAGCACACACCTTTGTCCTGCACCCTGAAGGTGATCAAAAGGAAGGAACAGGTCTTTAGAGTCAGACAGACCCCAGCTCTGCTATTTATAATGCCTATTATAGGACATTGGGCATGTCACTTTATCTCTCCAACTCCCATTCCTTACCTTCAAACAAAATGATGGCACTTGCTGCTTGTTGCCTACCCAAATATCATTCCTTCCTACCTCTTTGCTTCCCACGGCAGCAGAGCATGCCATGATGTGACTTCCCAGCCTCCCCTGTTGCTAGAGCATGTGCATGTGATCCTTCAAAACGCTAAAGATAGGAATGGAGAAAGCATAGGACACTTGTGTCCTTGGTGACATTCTTGTGCCAAGTCTGGACCCCAAGCTCTGGACAACTGGAGAAATAGAGAGAGAGAGAGAGAAATAGGCATTGGGTGGCCTCTCTTGAGGGGCTTGAGTGGTTTGGCTTCTCAACTCCCACCACTAGGACTGAGAGATGACAGCTCTTTCCAGGCTGCCAGGCCAGTCGGGGGAAAAATAAGGAATCAGGCATACTGGATCCACCTGTTAGCTGTCCAGGAGTCCCTTCTCATGTCACTTCATCAACTATTTGTCCCATGCCTACGAGTGCAGGCACCATGCTGTGTGCCGTGCACAGTGGTGGACAAGGCAGACAGCATCCTGGCTTGTCACGGCAGTGCAAGCACACTCAAATATTGCCAGCTTTTTCAATCGCTGAGAGAATATTCCCAACTCCGTATTTTGAAATCCATCAATATTCCAAGAGCACTCCCAGAGCCCCTGTTTTGAGGTTGACAGAGATGGGTTGTTTTTAATGAAAATGTATTTATTGAGCTCCTAGGCGTAAGATGTGGGCGTATAAACAGATGAGGCGCGTTTTCACTCCTCCAAGAGCTTCAACTCTGATGTGGTCGCTCCATGACAGGTGTTTGAGCTGAGTAGCATAAGTTATCATGCCCACGGGATGACGGGGAAGGGCCAGAGCAGTTTTGAGGATGAGATGACCTAATGGTGGTAGGACCCTGTTGGACGGTGGCTGACCCCTGAGAACGAGTGAAGGGCACTGCGTGCCTGGGGCAGAGCACGGCTGAGGATGGGGCTAGGAGGAGAATGGGGCCAGAGGGGTGTTTTGCAGGCTGAGCCAGGAGGACCTTAACCAGCAGGGCAAGGAATTTGGGCTGCAACCTACACGAGCAAAGGGAGATTTCAGGCAGGGAAGCCATGTGGCAGAGTCAGTGCTGTGGGAAGATTACTTTGACATCTGTGGAAGAGAAGATTTAGAGAAGGAGCCCCTGGAGGCAGAAGACAGAGGTCGGAGCAGCTTCTCAGAGAGGGGCTCACACCCTCTAGGTTTATTCCTGGCTCGGCTGCTCTGCCGAGTAAGTCTGGGCCCATCCTGCTGTGGAAGAACACTGGTTGCCTCCCCATATCCATTTCGCCCTCTCTCCTTTCTCATGATATCCTGAGGTTGTTTGGGGCAGCAAAATTCCCTGTTAAAAGTACTTACCTCCTCCAAATCTAACTAAGGATTGCCCATTTCTGGCCAATAAGGTATATAAAGAATTGTATGGAAAGGTATTGTTTTCTTGATAAAAAGACAGATTCAGCTGGCACAAACTTCTTTCTCTACCCCCTTCTTCCAGCCTGGAACTCAGATGTGATGCCTGGAAGTAATGCAGCCATTTGTGACCATGAGAACAAAAAACAATAAGTCAAGAATGGGAGAACAGGAAGATAACAGGAGTGTTGTTTTTGTTTTTGCTTTATAGAGATGGGATCTCAGCTTCATTGCCCAGGGTGGAGTGCAGTGGCTATTCACTGGTGCAATCATAGCTCACTGCAGCCCTGAACTCCTGAGCTCAAGCAATCCTCTCACTTCAGACCCCCAAGTAGCCAGAACTAAAGGTGTGCACCATGGCACCTGATTCAAACTAGCAGTGTTGATTCTTTTTTTTTTTTATTTTTATTTATTTCTAACAGCATCTCTAACAGTTGGAGCAGTGTTGATTCTTAATGACACCCTTGAGCAGTTGCACCAGACTGGACCGCCTATCTCCAGACTTTGAATTATGTGAGAAAAATAATCCCTTACTTGTTTAAGGTTTATCTTAAGTAGCCAAATGTGATTCCTAGCTGGTTTACATGACAACACTGAATGCCTCAGTTTCTTCTTTCTTCCATGAGCCCACAGCCTGGTGCAGGAATGGGTCATGCATCTATAGAAACTGTGCACTTTCACAGTGCCCACAGAGCCGCTAAAGAGGCCCTCGGTCTGTTCTGCCCACCTTGGTCCCAACTCTCTCAGCCTTGCAGGGCCTGCCTGGCTTGCTTGGATCCCCCTGGAGCCAGGGCACAATGCTCGCTGGGACAACCTAACATAGTAACCCAAGATCCCAGCCTGTGACTCTAAGACAGGCGTTGGAGGCCAGCAGTCAGGAATCCTGGGATCTTGGACCCCCACTGCCACTAACTGGGGTGTGACTTTGACCCAGTCATTCTCTATTCTCCTAGGTCTCAGTCGCCTCGTCTTTGAAAAGTCGTGATTGAGCTAAGTCAACAGTTTTCAAAGTATTTAAGTTAGTTTGCATATTCATCTATGAATAAAAGCAAGCAGGCAGACAAAAATAATAAAAGCAAGCAGGCAGACAAAAATAAACAACCAAAACTGAGAGAGAGAGAACAAAAAGACTGTAATAGCTTAAACTAGTTTAAACAATAAAGAAATTTGTCATGTGAGGTAACAGGAAGTCCAGAGACAAGACCACTCTGGGGACAGTTAGCTGCCAGCAGTGTCTTCAGGCACTCTGCAATTCTCCGTAGACTCTAGCTTCCTTCAGGGACACAGGATGACTGCCCCAGCACCAGGAACAACAGCAGCCAAGGAAGAAAGGAATCCATCTTTCTTATGTTTCATTCCTAGGAGCAAGAAACATTTTCCATAAGCCCCAGGAGACCTCCTTTGCCTCTACTGGACAGAAGTGCCTATTCCTAAATCGATCACTGACGAGGAAGGTGAGATCACTATCGGGTATGAACATGTGTTGGAGGGCCACCCGGAACCAATACAGAAAAGGGGGCCTCCTAGGAATTCAGTGTATAGAAAAGACATCTGCACCCCCACGTTTATTGCAGTACTATTCACAATTGCCGAGATGAGGAATCAACCTAAGTGTCCACCAACAGATGATGGATAAAGAAATTGTGGTGCGTATACACAATGGAATATTATATAGCCACAAAAAAGAATGAAATCCTGCCATTTGCAACAACACGGATAGAACTGGAGAATATTACGTTAGATGAAATAAGCCAAGCACAGAAAGACAAATCTCACATGTTCTCACTTATATGTGGGAGCTAAATATTAAAAAGAATTGATCTCATGGAGACAGAGAGTAGAATGACAGTTACCTGAGGCTGGGAAGGGGATGGCTAATGGGTACAAAAATATAGTTAGACAGTCAGATAGAATGAATAATATTTGACAGCACAACAAAGTGACCATAATCAACGATAAGTTAGGGTATACTTTAAGATAACTAAAGAAGTGGAATTGGAATGTTCCTAACACAAAGAAATGATAAATGCCTGAGGTGATGGATACCCCAATTACCTGATTTGATAATTTACATTGCATGCCTACACCAAAACATCACATGTACCCTGTAAAGATATACAACTATTATATACCCATAATTAAAAATAAAATACATATTTTTAAATAAACGGGGGACCTCCTTTCTAAAGAAATACCACATGCCCCATGACATAGAGCAGAGGAGAACAGAGCCCTTCGGACGGAAGTCAGAGATGGGGAGGACGCCGGAGCCCACCCCTGTGTTCCCGAGTCCCGGTCACTGACATCGGAGAACCACTGGCCTTGACCTCTAAGGCAGCTTCCTGCTCCAACACCCCATCCTTCTAGGACGAACGGCTCTGGCAGGATGGGGCCAACATAAAAAGGAAAGCTACCCATGTCTGTGGAGGTCGCCCTAAAGACCAGGCCAGTCAGTAGGCTCGCTGCAGGTAAGGAGCGGTATGGAATGTTCTGTACTCTACACTCATCATAATAACACACATTTATACATTTCCTGTTTGCCAGGCTCTTGCACACATATAATCTCATCCAGTCTAAGAAGAAGCCCTGTGAATGGTGGAAGGCGCTGACGGCTCTCTTTTAGAGATGGAGAAACCAAGGCACAAAACAAGAAGGTATTTGCTCCAGAAAGCCAGGCCCTGGTAGAGCCTACCTTGGACTATAGGCTTCCAATTTGGCCTAAGGACAGTGACACTCCTGGGAAACTGAGGGTGACTTCATATAAAGAAAAAGGTTATAGACGAGATGCCGAGGCTGCCGGTCAGGGTTTCTTGAGGCACGGGCTGCTGTCCAGGTGACATGGGTCTCTCAGTTTCTCTGAGCCTCCTCCTGTCCTCTGAAGAGTGAGGTTCCTGAGAGAGTGTCCCTCTCGGGTCACTGGGGAGCCCTGTGAAGGCCCTCGGGATGCCTAAAAGGGCTGTGAGGTCCCCTTGGCTGAGGCTGCAGACAGCTAAGGGAGGGCAAGTTCTGTTCCTTCATCTCCAGACTGCACCTGAAGGAAGACTGGGCCCGAAAGGCCAGCGGCCACCACCGTGCCTGGCCACTGCCTCCTCCCTGGGGCGCCTGGCTGCAGCCCACTCCCTCGGGGCATGCGGCTGCTAATGGTTCTCCCCACAAGCTGCTTCATTAAAGATTTGTTCTGTCGAGTTGCAATCAAAATAAACAGACTGGCCTGAAAGCCAGGGAACTAAAAACCAATTAAGAGGGAATGGAGATGGCAGTGGGGGTGGGGGCAGGAGGGAAAAAGAGGCCGGGGCTTTCCAAAGACTCAGTTCCCATGGCAGCCAGCTTCCAAAATAGTCTGGGAATGAAAAATAATGAAAACCACCCCGGAGAGAAAAGCGATCCTGGCAGGAGAGACCTGACCTTGGGTTTGGCTAAATACCCTTGCTCACGGCTCCTGGAGGGCACCTGGGTGGGTGGGAGCTCTGGTGTCCTGCCCCACCCCCACCAGTCCCCTGTCCAAGGTTGTGAGTGGTGCAGCCCCTCTGCGGGACCCTCTGCTTGAGCCCCTGCCCAACGAGCAGAGAGACACACCAGAGAGAGTTGATGGGGGGAGGGCAGGAGGTAAGGGAGGGGTAGGGACAAGTCTGAAAGGGGACATTCAGGACACGGTGAGGCCCATGAGGGACCCAAGGTCCCCTTGCAGAGGGCTTCCTGGAGGAAGCGACATTCAAACCGAGATGTGGAGAATGAGTAGTAGCTGGCCAAGGAATCAACAGAAGGGCTTCAGGAAGAGAGAATAGGAATTGCAAAGGCTGGGGCGTGGGGGAATGGAGGTGTGGGGGCGTGGGAGAGAGAGAGACCGGAAGTTCAGCAGAAGTGACAATTATTGAGCCAGACATACTTTGTGCCCAGCTTAGTGCTTTCTTATGTCCTGAATCCTGAGAGGCAAGAACCCCTGGCAGGGTCAGACTCGGTATCTCAGCACCAATCTGTGGACCCTGTGCCCGCCTCCTTCCCCCTCTGCCCGGAGCCAGACCTGGGAGCCCCGTCCCCTGCCCTGTCCCTTGCCCGTGGCAGGGGCCCACGCCTGGCAGTCACTTCGTGGTGCTATCTCTGAGGAGGCCTCGCTGCCCACCAGGAGGCTTCGCTGTTTAACCATCTCCAGACCCCGTTGTGGTCTGGTTTCTGTTTCACTGGTGAGGCAACAGGAAAGCTGAGATCCTATTAAGTTGACTCGCAGATGCCAAAAAGGAATAACAGCCAAAATTAAGTTAACTCTTTCCTACCCCTCCTCCACCTGCCTTCCCAGGCCACGGAAATCGGAGCACTGAAACACATTAGCCATGAGAGAGGGACCCGCCTCGGCCCTGGAGGAATGGGCACCCAAGGCCGGAGCGGCACCTGGCCTCCCCAGGCAGGTCTGACGGGTCAGGTCGGGAACCAAGGGGCGCCCAGCCCAGCACCCTTGCCAAGCGGAAGGGCTCCTGACCTGGCAGCAGGACCGTGTGAACCCCAGCCGGTCCTTCCAGACAGGAAAGAGGGGAGGTGAAGGCTGTGGGGTTGAGCTGCCCGCCGCGCTCTCAGGGCACCGGCTTTTCACAGGCCTCTCATCTCGAGACGTCAGGCCAGCCCCGAGTGGGAGCCCACTGGAAACGGGATGGCCCTGAGGGGCAACAGCACTTGGTGTCTTCTGACGGCTCCCACAGAACAGGGGGAATATAACCCAAGGAAGGAGCACTGGCCTGGGAGTCCAGAGGGAGCCAGAGGCACTTGTCCTGTCCCCGTGGCAGGGCACAATGAGTGTAGGTTTTGTCATCAGCATTAACCTACTTCCCCCATCTGGGGTCCATGTGGGCCTGGGCAAATTACTCCTCTCTGAGCCTCAGACTGTCGGCAGTAACTGGATATAATAACATGTACCCCACAGGCTCCATATCAAGGTGAAACAAGGTGCCAGGGTCCCCAGAGCAAGCTGGGCACATAGTAGGGATGCACCAGCATTCCTTCCTCCTCTGGGCCTCAGCTGTCTCAACTGCAAAATGGGCTGACAAGCGTCCTAGGTCAAGCGTGTCAAGCACTGGGAAGATGCAAAGGGTTACAGATCCGAGCACAGGGTCCCGGCTGGGGAAGATGCTGAGAAGTTGGTTACTCCCTTTCCAGCCCCCTTTTCTCTCTGCGTTCCTCTCACCTGCCGTCAGACACTGGCCTCCCTCACCCTGCACAGCCTCTTCCTGGGTGGCCTTGAGAAGTCTCTGGGGGCACAGAGATAAAAGAACATTGTCAAGCGCCTACTCGAGGCAAGTATAAGAAATAGGGATTGTGCTGCCACCCTCTAAGCTGCCCAAATGCTGGGCCGCCCTGGGGTGGGCTCCCCCGCTGTCGGTACTGAGAGAGGGGTCAGCTCCCCACCAATGGGAGAGACTGACACTCCGAACTGCCACCAGCTTCCTCGCTGGCCGAGGGCAGGCTGGAGTGAGTGGACCAGACGGGAACAAAGGCAGCCTGGCCCAGGAGGAGGTGACACTCGGCCCTGGGTGTGAATCTGACTCAGCTGTGTCAACTTGGACATGGTTCCTAACTTCTCCAGTTCCTGGTTACCTCATCTATAGACCTGGGACAGGAAGAACACTGGTCCCATCTTGTCTAGCAGCCTGTCAGGAGAGTCAAATGAGATGACTGATAAGTGTCGAGAACAGTCAAACCTTGTTATCATGAGTAATTAGCACACTCATTATTTGTTTGTGTTTCTAAGCAGCAGATTCACTAAGTGAGTTAAACCGCTTCTCAATCCCTACTCCTCAAGCATCCTGTTGACACTTGTCCTCCTTTGTCCTCAGACCGGGAAGGCGAATCCACGCCCAGCACAGTCAGAACAGCCCACGCCCGGGTGAGCACCAACTGTTATCTCTCGCTGGTCCTGTCGGCCCGGGACCAGCCAAGGGAGGCTAGGGTGGCAGGCATTTCTCCTCCTTTGGACTCTTGTAAATGAATAAGCCGACACATTAGATCAACAGCCCCCTTGATGTATTTGCATGGAGCACTTACTACATGCCAGGCACTTTGCTCCTTTGCAGATAGGATCCTGGGAGCCTCGCATGGCAGCCTGTGACAGAGCTGGCTTCCTCCCTCCCTCCTTCCCAGCCTTCCTTCCTTCCTCACTCCCTGCCCTCCTTCCTTCACTCCTTCCTTTCTCCCTCCCTTCCTTTCTCCCTCTCTTCCCTCCCTCTCTCCCTCCTTCCCTTTCTCCCTCCTCCCCTCTCTTCCTTCTTTCCTTCTCTCAGCTTTCCACCTTTGATTCCAAAAGCCTTTCCCAGGGCAGCAACAAGGGGAGAGGACTGTGGCCTCAGGGCACCTGTTGGGGCAGGAGGGAAAGGCCCTGGGAGGTCGGGAGCCATGTGAGAGGACCCAGGCAGAGCAGCAAGGGGAATGATCCAAGTGCAGAGATACTGGGCCCAGGGAAGGGTATCTGCTCAGAGATTTGGCACACTGGCTTAAGCAAGAAAGCCCTCTGGCTGGGTTTCCAAGAAGGAATAGTCCCCAACCAGCCCCCAAGATTGACACCTCTAAAAATGAATGCCAGAGGCTCCCTCGGCAGGGCCTGGAGATACCATAGGCACATAATCAAGGAGCATCAAATCAGACTAAGCAGGAAATCAGATGACACCATAGCTGCCTCCAACACCTGAGGAAAGTAGGCGGTGAATCCCCTGCTAGCTGGGCCAGGTCTGGAGGAAGGAGCAGGGAAACTAGAGAGAGAGCCCAGGGTAGCTCAGAGGAGGACTCTGACCCACAACCGCCGGACTCAGGGCTGACAGGCAGGAAGGCCAGTCAGTCTAAGGGGCTGTACGCGAGCTGTGTCTCCTGAGCAGGTGGCCGCTGCACTTCCGTGCTCCTGGGTGTCCACCGAGCTGCCAGGCTCAACAGACACTACTTCTCACGGGTCGTCCCTTCCACCCTCACGGCCACCAGGAGGCAGGAATCAGACCTCCAGTGACATCTGAGGAGCCGAAGGTTGAGAGAGGTTCAATAACTGGCTCTGGGTCAGAAGGTGTTCTTGTCAGGGTCATTCGGCTGCAAAGAACCTACATGCTTATTGCTTAACGGGATACCAATTGTTAGCCAGAGATGGTCCCAAGCCTTTCCCCTCCTCTTCCTCTCAGAGAATGCCGGCTGGTGCTCCTTCCCTCCACCCCCACCCGGGAAGAGGGTCCTGCCTTGCAAGGAGGCACTTTGGAACTTTGAAATGCAGACATGGAAGCAAAAGGGACAGGCAAATCACTGGGGGCGGCTTTGGCGTGAGTTAGGGGACTGGCACCCCGGGAGGCACAGAGGCTACGGGAGGTCTCCGTGTGGTCTATGATCGCTTTCCATGAATGCCAGGGAAGAACTGAAGTTAGGATGACATAAGCTTTGGCTCCTCAACCCTGTTCTTTGGAACTAACACCAGTGAGAGATGGGGCCACATGAGTCACAGCTTTCTAGGCATTACATACGTGAGGACATGTGTGGCAAAGAACAGACATTGGAACTGAGGCAAAGCAGAGACCAGCCTCTTCCTCATGGCGTCTCTGCCTTGCTTCCTACGACGTTCTCCTCCTTCTACTGTCCCACGTGCTTTGTTCATGCTTAGTTTCTGCTTTTATGTGACGTCAGCCCTTTCTTTTCTAGA